AATTGTTCAGATATTTCAGATTATTTGTTGTCAGAAAGAAAACTCTAAATTAACCTGTTAAACTGTTACTTTATGTGACAATATGCCGGTAGGTACTTGCTGAAACGCGCATATACACGCATTGCTTTCATTTGAGAGACCGACCGAGTTTTTCTGACTAGAAATAAGAAACGTCGGCAAATTATACCCTTTTTTGCACATCGTTTGTGCTATAAATATTCTCCACAAGTTTTTTAGGGCGTTGAAATTGTGACAGAGCTTTATCTTACGAAGTCGTAGGTCTCGACAAAACCACATGGCAAATATAAATCAGAAATTTATTATCTATATTTATATGGGATGACAGGCTTCTTATTACAATTACAATAACCCATAAAACGACATGTCGTACGAACTATATTTCATTATCTGACTTCTGTACAGACTAACATATTGATGGTCTTCTTGAAAATAATTCCGAGTGATTTAGAAGTATCAAATGAACCATTATGATCTTAAGATAACTCAAGATAAAGTGTTATGTTCTATATCAGGGATTGGCAAGGTTTTTGTAACAGAGGCAAAAAATTTAGCCTATACACATACTGGCGGGCCATGTCAGTATAACGTAAAATGCTACATTTTATGAACAATATTTACAGTGTTACAAAAGCAAAAGTGGGAAACAATATGGCTCGTGCCAAACTAAATTTAATCACAATCTCAACAAATTTCTTGAGGTATTTTTAGCTAAAACATTAAAATTTGGTTTCAGTTTGGTTGTGGCAGCATCAGGCGGATCAGATTGAATCACCCAACGTGCCGGATTTGGCCCGCAAGCCGTACTTTGCTCCTCCCTGTTCTATATTATAGGTATTCTGACTTTTTTACAATGTTCAACTCGAGATCATACTTCCAGGGTGGTGTTTACTTTTTATTATCTCACTCAAAGATGTTAGTAGTTTATAATAATTGAGACAACAGGTAGTTATCAAATCTCAGGCGATGAAAAGCTCAAACAGGACCTACAAACCTTATTCACATAACTCAGGGTGTAATGAATGGGATAAGCCGAGAATGTGCAACAGGCGGCCCGCGGGCCACAACCCGGCCAAGCCATTTTGTGTGGCCCTGGCCAAACTCAAGATTTTTCCCATCAAGCTTAAAATTCTAATCCGACAGTTTTTATTCGGAAGGGCGCTCACAAATATACAAATACACGTTTTTTTGTTTTTGTTGCTGTGTTAAATCTTCCGCCGTTTCGCTCGGTGTTATTATCACTGTAACGCTAGGCGATAGTCGCATTCTATTCTTTTGCCTTCATCATTCAATTTTTTGTGTGGCCAACTACATGGTCTGAAGTTGGTTATAAATATGGCACACCGACAAAAAATGATGACACACCCATGTAATAAGCAATACCGAAAAGGAAAAGTTCAGTCTATTCAAAAACCTTGGCACTTGAGTCGTAACATACTGAAATTTGCTTGGACAGAGCCTCGCTATGAGTATGAGTGAAGGTATAAAACATATAAAATATCTTCCACATGAATTTATCAAATCTTCGGCAACGAAGTTCTTTAATACGGGTGTTGAACTTTAATATATTGGACGTCAAACAATAATTAGGCGTGTTAGGTATTGTATGAAGCTTGTCATTCAATATTTGCCTTGTAAAACGAACATCACGACTGTTCTTATCAATAGAAGAGTTTAGATTGGAGGTTATACTGTAAAAAAAATTGTAAAATTTCGTATAATTTCGTAGTAATTAATTCTGTGTTGGGTAGAAGTCCCCGAGGTCGCGCGTAAAGTCGAGTCACGTGACATTCTAGCCTCGAGTCCGAGGTCGATTCGATCATTGAGTGTTGGTTTAAAGTGAGTCTGAGTCATCTAGCTACATCATGTAGATTCTCGAGGTGAACCAAGACAAGAGGAGCTTTGCACGTTTTTGATGGTTTTTCACGGTTTTTAATTTTTATTCTCTCACCCAAAGCTGTAGTCAATTCAAGATAATTTGAGACAAAAAGTAGTCAAATTTCAGAGAATGAGAAGCTTAAATGAAAAAGTTTTTTAGGTTTTTTGCACGTTTTTACAAGACTTTCCGTGTTTTTTTACGTTTTTTGCTTGGTTTTCTTTAGGATTCCGTAAAAGAAACCTTGGTATTTCGCGAGCTTTTTAGTGAATTATCAAAATATTGACCTCCTGATTTTGTCACTGTCCAAAGAATAAATAACGGCATTAATAAAATTTGTCAGTGGTAGCGTCGAAATGTGAAAACAATACGGTTTTCAAATATGACATTATCGAATCTCCAATAGATAATTTTTATAAATTTATTGTTGCGGGGTTACGTAAATAATAGTCAATCTCCTCACGGGATTCATAACAACAAAATTTTGAGAACATCTGATGTAGATAATACGGTTCATATCAATTCTTTAATAAATAATGCCCCGAGTCGAATTCAAACCGAGTCTATTACAAAACACTGGATATGCTCGTAGCTATAAATAAAAACAGAGGTCTGGTATGCTTCTTAAATACCTGTTCAAATTTAATATTATTTACCTAAAAATAATAGTAACATTACTGGATTTTTATAACAGTGTATTTTAAAGGACAGAATCGCGTATTCAATGTTAAAATATGTTTAACAAGTAGGTTTATAGGGTTAGGGTATGCTCTTATAACTTTTAATAAAAGGTACTTCAAAAACCGAACAGTTTTTATCAGAAACACTTGTTTTATAGCAAAATGAACTTGAGGCGATTTTTCCTAGGGCGAATTTTTCTGGAACGTAATGAATTGTGTGGGCAGTGCTGACCCTTTTAGATTTCGATTTTTCCGGTGATAGTGACTTCTTACATATCAGCGGCCACTCGCACAGAGCTGTATTCAAAAAGAAAATATGACTCCTATACCATCCTAAAACGTTTTTAATTGACAGGCAACGTCGAATCGGAAAATTTTTGCCCTTCCATTCGTGTTCAGAATCGACTTATGAAGCTTTTAAATGGGAAGTGAGTGCCAGTTTCTCGCATACTTTAGTGATTAATCATGTTATAGAACTGCCTGCTATTGATTGCCATACTTATGAGTGGGGAATATAAATTTAGATTGAAGTAAAACCAAAGCAACTGCGTAATTTCGTCCATTTCTAACAGTGATTTCCGTCAATATTATTATTTACGCGGTGTCTATCTGTTTGTGGATCGGGTGCGTCATATTGTAATCGTGCGTTTTGACAACAAACAAAATAGGCGCAGCCGTTCTCGAAAAAATATTTACGAGACTATGGTTTTAAAGTTTATATTTGAGGTTACAAATGGAAGTTGTAGGATGCAGTTATATATATTAGTATTATTATTACTATAATTTATTGGTGTTTGTAACTGACGAAGTTTTGTGCACCTGGATTTCTGTTTACTGCTATTTCCCGTCAGCAGTAGGTTTGATTTAACCTAAGGAATAATTTAGGGATTAGACGGCAAATTCATAATATTTATGGAAGATACTACAATAGGAAAAGTTATAACGGAACAATTATAAAATGTTCGACGGTTTCTCCTCAACTAAAGAGTCGCAAAGTTTAATTTTTATGTCTGCTGAATTCGATTTTTGTGACTGCTTCTCAAGCGTGTAAACTAATTTTTCAACGCCCTGACCAGCACTAACTGAATATGTGTGAATCAGATATTATAATATTTAAGTGCAAGAAATAAATTATTGAACACAAAGTGTACACATGGATAGTTTTGGTATTATGTTGTTGTTGACCTTGTTGGAGTTTTTTTTCTTTAGGTTGTAAAAATCGTTTTCTTAACTATTAAACAATAGAGTACTAGACCGATTGCTTTAAAATTTTCAGTGGTTAAGGATTGTTGCTGTCGTCGCTAGACTGTGTCACTATGACAGATTGCATACTCGTACTGCTTCTATTTGGCCTCCGTGTCCATTGAAGCATCGCTTTTTTCAGCCATCGTTTTCTAAAGCAGTTTTGATTTACTGCATTTGCTGATGATTCTCGCCCATATGCTATACGCCAGGGGTCGGCAACCTACGGCCCGCGAGCCGGATCCGGCCCGCAGGGCCCTATAACCCGGCCCGCGGCGCTTTACTAAATTATAGTAACAGAACATTCGTTTTGACGAATATATTCTTTAGACTAAATTATATTATAACCTAACAATTATATATTTCACAATTACTCGTTTAATGAGCATATAATTCAATTATAATTAAACAAATGGCAACAAAACGCAGAAAAGTTGATGCTAAGTGCAAAGGGTTCAATGGCGCTGAAAATATTCAAATGGAATTTTATGAGATGCAATGAGGAAATAAATCTATATTCTATTCGAGAAATGTATCACTGCTTGATTTTTAATATGAAAAATGTACCATCCGTTCGGTTTTTCAACTTTCTGGAAATATGTGCGGCCCGCCGAAGACTTGCAACCTTAATTTTGGCCCGCGAGCGACAAAAGGTTGCCGACCCCTGCTATACGCAATTAATTGTATTGCATACTCTAGTTTGTTAACAATATTTCTATTTTAAACATTTAGTCGGGAAATTCGGCTTTTCAAGATCTTTCGTAGCCAAGCTGGAAGTTAAGTTTTGTGCTAAATCCGGCATTTTCTGTCGTGAAAATGTTTTTGCGGGGTGACCCTAAAGAAACACAATCCCGGTCATTCAAAAATTATTCTAGAGACGACATAACTTTTGTGCATAACGTATTAGATTACTGAAACCATTGAGGCAAGATCATACGTAAGCCGAAGTTTAAGTGTCAAATAATTTTTTTGTTTTCGTAAAAGTAATTGAAAAATTATGGGTTTTGTTTTTTAAACACCCTATAAATGTAGACAACGTAAATGTTTTTCTTGTTTTTGTTCTTGTTGTCAATTTTATGCGGTCAATTTTGGATTTTGAAGTTTTTTAATGTTTGTTGACTTACTTTTTCTGAAGCTGTATTATTTCATTTATGACATTGTTTCAGGAATATTAAAAACAAATATTTACGCTAAAACTCTTAGCTATTAAATATGGGGTACGGCAACGTGTTACCCCCGATTAAAAATCAAATGGTGAAAAAACGACGAAACTGGGTCATGAGGGTGAGGTTTGGACCCCATTGGTCGAGTTATAAGGGAGATTATGACATCATTGACGATAAATGGATTGTAAAAGGAAAGATGATGAATATGGTACTTGTTGGATTATTTATTACCGATGACATGACTAACGACGTCGTAGTTACGTCGTGCAAGAATATATTTTTAGTTTTCATGCTGTTAATTTTATTGTATTATTTCAAAACAAACTTTCTAGGTTGCCTCTTATCAGCCCTTGTGACGTCTCCACTCACAAACGCACTTGGATCACTTATTCCGATTACGTCATTGATAATATGACGTCACTGTTACGTCCTACAAGAGGGACGATATATTTTTAATTTTCATGTTCACTTGTTTTATTCCAGAACACATTTATGAGATTACCTCAGATATCTCGTGACGTCACTACTCACAAACGCCAGCTAACGAACGGGAAAAAGGAAAGAATATCATTCATGGCATTCAACAGTCTAGCACGTTCAGTCGGTAAGTTGTCTGAAGCCTCATAATTAAATCTCATTATAATTGGACACGTCAGTGTACATAACGATCGTTTCAATATTAGGTTGTTGTTTTTGTTTGTATTTATTCTTCTCCTTCGTCATTATAAAATCGCTTTTCTCTTCGAATACTGGACCAATTGCTTTGAAATTTTCAGTGGTAAAAGATTGATTTTTTTGTCAGAAGGCTATTACGTTTACTTACTTCAAAAATTTATGTCTTGAAGAGATTCGTTTTTTATGTGTCAGAATCAGGGTTGTCCAAAACGAATCGAATATTCGAATGTATTCGAATATCAAAGTATTCGAATACCCTTTCGGCTGCTTTTCGAATAATTACGAATAGTAGCCACTTTTCGCCGTAAACGTGGTGTTCCGTTTTAACGGGAATCTTCAAACGACTTTTTACGCTGTCTCACGTTTTGTAATGACAATGAAATAGAATCGGCACTTTGATTGTTTATATTCTGTGCGACCGTACGTCGCATGGTGTTGCGACACATTTGCACGTTTGCGCGGGTGGACATTGCCGACATTCGTGTACGTGGCTTTTAATTTACAAATTCATTTCCATTACGTCGAAAAATTGAGAAAGTATGTTTATTTTATTTCTATGTGGCCTGCTTATTATTCGCATGAGTCTTCTCAAGCATGATTTGTGTAACCTTATATTTGGGTCTTAGGGTCTGCCAATCATGATATTTAATCGCAGGCTGGTTATCGTTACTTTAAAGAAAAACACGGCCACCGAGATAAAGTGATTTGTGACCCTTTCGTTTTGCCGATTCAGCAGAACACGACAGGGATAGGAAAACACAGCTGTGAAATAACCCATGGACGTACAGTGTAGTACTTATCACATTCCAAAATTATTTCGACATTCGGGTTAATAGGTTGTCTAAAATGATTGCCGCTTCACGACTTAATTTACCACTCATTTGTTAAAAATAGTTAATTCTGTGAGTATGATTCTACTAAACTAACATGATCTGGTTCTAAACATATAAAATTATTAGCGCATATCAGCATTACTGAACAACAGGGACTGGAAAAACCCCTTTTTTGAGTGCTAAAAATAGACATCGTCCTATTTGCCATGTGGACTTATTAGCCGGGAAATACGGTATTTATAGCCAGCATTGTTACGATATCCAATAAATTGTCACAAGTTGGAAAAACAAGTCGATTTATTAGAAAATAATTCTGATAACGATAGTTATAAGTATCGATCCTTTACCAGAATGATTTTTTGTTGCGCAAAATAATCCAATCCATGACTGGTACCAGCATTTAAAATGTCATGCCGTATTAATTTAATTCTGTTCAACGTAACTCATGGTTGTATCGACAATCTGTGGACATAAAATGTGTGGTAAACTGACCAATATTATCAAATATTGATTCCTATTTTTATATTGATAAAATAATGAAAGTATTAATACCAAATACAACGGGTATTTGTGGACATGAAATACGTGGTAAACTGCGCAATTATAATTAATTTCGGATTCGTATTTACAAAATAATAAAACTATTATAATTCTAAAATGCAACGGCGATCTGTGGCCTTAAAATGTGTGGTAAACTGCCCGATTTACCAACATTTGAGTTATGATAATAGAATTAAATTAACACGGTAAGGCATTTTAAGTAGTGGTATCGGTCATGGATTCGGATATTTTGCGCAGCACAAAATCATCCTAGTAAAAAGTCCGTCATTCTAAATACAAACCAATGGCAACCATTATCCAAATTAGTTCCCAATAGCGGGATAAAGTATAAATTCTTTTTCCGACTTGTGACAATTTTTCGTGAGTACGAAAATAAGAATCAAGATTTAATTATATTCGGCACAATATCACGGCAATCTGTGGACATAAATTGTGTGGCAAACTCGCGATTAATATTAATTTTTGATTCCTATTTTCGTATTTACAAAATACAACGGCGATCTGTGGACTAACAATGTGTGGTAAACTACCCGTTTATAAATAGTTTTTGATTCCTATTTCCATATTTATGAAATAATAAAAGTATTATTACTCAAACATACAACGGCGATCTGCGGACTTAAAATGTGTGGTAAAGTTCCCGAATATAATTAATTTTTGATTCGTATTTTTGTACTCACGAAAAAATTGTCACAAGTCGGAAAAATACCTCATACTTTGTCCCGCTTTTTGACAAATAATTTGGATAATGGTTGGTATTTAAAAGTATGGGCGTTTTACTAGGATGATTTTGTGTTGCGCTAACCTATTAAAATCCATCATCGATACCACTATTGCCGTATTAATTTAATTCTGTTAACATGACTCATGGTATATAAAATATATACTGCAATAATCTGCAAATATGAAATGCCTGGTAATTTGGCTAGGTTGTAACTTTAGATAGCAGTTATTCCATTGCTCATTGTATGGAAATTCCTACATACATTTAGATAAGCTTCAATTAGTGGATTTTAGTTTCGAAGTATTCGAAATTTCATATTCGAAAAAAATAATTTCGAATGTATTCGAAATAGTGAACTATTCGGTATTGGCCATCCCTGGTCAGAATAAAAGATAGCAACACCTCGTGACCTGTCCATATATTTGAGCACAGCTCTCTTGTTGATCTTCGGTTAAAAAGGTTCCGGCACTGGCGGTTGTTGTTCTCAGTTGTTTTCCTTTGCCTTGGTTCCCCACGGCTTCACTTTCCAGTAAAATTGTGTGTCTAATTTTTTGTATTTAATTTTTGAACTGACTGAAAAAATAACACTGACTATAACTATATAACTCGAATCCAACATTCCCAAGAGAAAAGGTGGTTCGACAGAAGCTAAAATTGATAGTGAGATAAAGAACGTCAAGTTATACGTGAATCATTCACGGATATAGTAAAATTGTGTTGCGAAAGACGTTTGTGTCTCGCTGCGAATGCTGTATGCTCCCCAGAACCCCTCACACATGGCTACACCAATGGTGACGAATTAAAGTCAAATTGAGTCTCCATTCATAAAGACATCACTTTTATTGAATATTTTGCATTTTATGCTGGCACTCTTTTTTTTTTGTATTCTTTTTGGTATCATTATGAAAAAAATCGCTCTTCTCTTCGATTACTGGACCAAATGCTTTGAAATTTTCAGTGATTAAAAATTAAATTTTTTTCTAGAAGTTTATTACTTTTATTTATTTCGAATATTCCGGTGAGCTGCATGACATTCGTTTTTTTGTGTGCTAGACGTCATTAAAATTTGCCGCTATGTGGCGCCACGTGTCCATATATTTGAGCATAGCACTCTTGTTTATAAATAAAATGAAATGTATTTCATTTCAGATGACCTCCACATCTCAACTAATATTCCAGCATGCACTGCTGGGCGAGACATGGATGACGTCATAACCGAAATTTCCTTCCAAAAAGTCGAATTTGAAAACAGAAGAAACAGTTGCGGAATCGAAGGCACAAGCCTACGAACTGCTCCTAGTGGGATTGGTAGGAGAAGATGGTCTGACAGTGCAGCAGGACAATTAGCGGGTGTGGAAGGGGGTGTGTTACAGTCGGGACAAGTGCGAACCAATCAGGAGCGGGGAAGAACGTTGGGACTTCAGCAACGACCAATGGTATGTGTTAGAATTGTAGTCTGCTCACCGTTTCATCTAGATCACGTGGGTTCTCAAACTTTTTAAGCCACGCCCCTTTTTAGAATTTGTCAAGTCTCGCGCCCATTTCGAAAATAACTGTCTAACACTACAGATAACAGATAGTAATTTAGATAATTCTTTGAAAAAAAAATGCGGGGATGGAACGTGAACATTCAAAATAAAGGAATGTAAATGTTTGAAATAAAGCAGGCAAGATCGAAGCTAACAAATATTTTTGAGTTTAATTATCTTAACCCCCCCCCCTCAAAAAATTGTCTACGACCCCAATGGGGGGCGCGCCCCACCGTTTGAGAGCCGTAAGTTGGGTAAACAATGCCGAACCAGAATAATTTCAATTCTTCCTAAATTTGACAGTTTTTTAAGTATAAGTAGAAGCTGGCACAGTGAAGTCGTGGAAAAGCCTTACAAAAATATTTGCTTTTAGACAAATATCTGAACTAGATTAGGTTCACCATATTTAAAAAAGCAAAATTCCGGACAGTTCATGACCTCGTAGTAAAAAATATTCGCACGGTACGAAATAACAATGTTCTTTATTAGCAGTGTACATAGTACGATTGCAGATGCAGTAAAATTCCTGATTCCGGACATTTAAGCATTTTTTAAATTCTTCTCGGACGCAAAATTTAACTCTAGATTCCGGACATGTCCGAAATTTTCCGAACGGTATGGCAACCCTAAACTAGATTCGCTATATCACCATCCAATTCAGCTTTATTTGCCGATGCTAATGCATCTCACGACGCCAACTGAACACGTAGATTTCGGACTATCTCTCTAATCTTGAACTTGCCACAATATTGCAACCGCCTTCAAGTGAAAAAAAAATCAGTAAATTTATTAGTCTTTTTGTGTTGTGATTGCTGTGTAATTTTTTTTACTAAGCTATTTCACATCTTGCACCCCGAACCAGGCCCGGTACAAAAAGCTTTATCGGAATTATTCTCTGTGTCAAAATAAACATAAATTTCTGGCCTAATCCTGCGTTTTTTTGAAATTGAAAATTCGAATAACCCTAATATATTCTTCAGAATTTAGTAAAGTCGGACACGGCTTGCATTACACAGAATGCGGATGAGTTACTGCAGGAATACAAAGAATTCGCTAAAAGAAAAGACGGAATTCCGGAACTACATGAAACCGGAAAGGCAGGAACAACGAACAACGGCGAAGGAAGGTTTATTGCGTCAATGTGGGTTGGACTAGAAATATTATTTTTTACCTGATTTTTAACTTTTCGCCGGAACTATGCGTAGCGGTGGACGCGTTGGCCTAATATTTAAGGGACCATGAATTTTTGGTGACCGTACATTTGAACCCATGTGTATATCCACGGGTTTAATCTATATGCGGGTGCTAAAACCAATGGGTTAGGGTTAGTGTGGGTTCAACTATCCGAAAAACAAAAAAAAATCCATAGGTGCAATAGCATACAGGTGCAATTGTCATGGGTTCAAATGTACGTGGGTTCAAATGTAATGGAACCAAAATTTCTAACTAAAGAATTCCCGCTTTACATTGCGGACTTTTTTAAATATTGACACTCAAAAACTATAATAATTCAATGAGTAACCCCTGAATTATACGGAAAAAACAATATGGAGGTAACTAATTTTGTTCTCCTACTTTACATCAAGTTGTGTAAAAAAATTGAAACCCATGAGTGAGAAGTATACTTTCTTGGCTAACACAGACAGTTCTTGCACTCGTAATAGAACTAAAATAAGAAAAATCGGAATAAAATTATGGCCTAACCCTAACCTGGTACATACACTACGGCAGTACCAAAAGGCTGGCTTATTCTCCAATACAGCGAATTTATCAATATTGTATTACTTTTTAGCAACTCTCAAAGAGGAGCAGAATATTTTCATTCAAATCAGGTGGCGAGAGATAACGGTATCGGAGAACTGTTTTCAAAATCGAGGTCGCGGTCCAATGGTTTACCGAACGCTTCTATAACCGGAAAACCAAAACCGAATCGGAGGCAAACGACGAATATGAATCTATTCAGAAACGTAAGTATATAGGAATGTGCTGACGATAGGAAAATCAGCTTCAACTGTTCGATGATCTCACAAGTAATGACGTAATTGGTTACTAGAGAAACTGTTGATAAATTTATGTCGAGGTTTTTTAAATTAGCAATTTAACATATTTGGTACTCCCGAAGTATGTGAACCAAGATAGAGGACACCGGAACGTAGTATGTGTACCAGGTTAGGCCATAATTCCAAGTACAAATATTACGGGAGTCACTTGGCTAGTCCCCGAACTCGTAATAAAACTAAAATAAGAAAAATTGGAATAAAGTTATTGCCTAACCCTTACCTGGTACACACACTACGTTCCGGTGTCCGCCATCTTGGTTCACATACTTCGGGAGCGCCTTTTCATCTACTTATTTTTCAATTTTCCTAGCGTTCTGTTAAAATAATTCAGCCAGCTGTAATTTATCACATTTGCGTTCAAATTCACCCAAGTTTAAATGATTTTTACATTTACATACTTCTCGACTATTATTTAGAAACGCGGAGTACTTATTCCATCAGGAGATAGTTCTGGCGGTCGTCGCCTTTCAGTTGAAGCAACAATGAGTAAGACAGGGTCTGCAACAAGGATGCTGCAGAAACGAAGCAGTCGAATGCTAGGCGGGAAACGATCGAGCACTCTTCGAAAATCTGACATGAATATGAAAGCTAAGAAGGTGCGTTTGTTGGGCAGGATAGACCAATAGGATAGGATTTACATGTTTATCCCGGGGGAGAGAAAAGCCGATAAGACGGCTCAATCATATGGCGAACCACGACCTTCTGTCCGGTTACCAGTCCAGGTCGAGTATGGGATTAGTTAGCCAGTTATTTGTTTTCGGAAGCAAGGAAAGCCGATAAGACGACTTATCTATATGGCGAACCTCGGCCTCTCGTCCGGTCCGGTTAAGTCGGGTATGGGATTAGTTATATTGCTTGTTTTCGGAAGCATGGACGTGGTGGTGGAGGAAGCCGTAACCGACCAGCGGTTACGTGAACCACCCAACGACGGCGAGGAGTCCAGCAATCCTCTCGCACATAACCATCCCTGCATGGGATTTGAACCCGCGAATTTCAAAATTACTGAGACCCGGTTTGTGATAATAAAGTAACCTCTAAAAGTATGAATAGAAATTATTTATCAAAAATGAACTTTCACATATCTAAAGTTAATGAGGATAATGCGCACTTGGATTTTCCTCTAAACAATAAAGTAAACATTTGTTTTGTATTTCAGGTTCCTCCGCGTCCAGAGTCGCCTCCGGTTCCCACTGAAGAAGACATGCAGGAGTTACAAGATTTACCGGTTATCCGGAAGTTCCTAAAAATGCCTCCAAGTCGACCGAAAGTTGTTTGTTTCGACTACCCAGTAAGTAGACTTTATCAAGTCTGGCCTGAATCTTGATTCTATTTTTAGGCGTTTTTGCAACGAACAAGGTAACTACTGGTAAATAATGGGTTGATACTATTAGATTGATCGGAATATATTTTTCTGTGACAACAACACGATTTCCTCTCCCCTGATTGATATAAAAATCCTATCCTACTTTAATATTTTTCATCCAGGGTGTCGATCTGACACACGTGGACGTGGAACGAGCGATAGAAAAGGCGATTCCTGGCGCGTTCGAATCCGGCAAAGTTGTTTCTGTTCAGTTTGAAAACGTAAACGTGAAACTCGCTACAGGAGGATTAGACAACAGGTAAGCATTTAGTAGAATAGTAAGTGTATAATAAGTTGATAATATGGTTTATAATTATATGCCGTGCCATGTTTTTTGTCTGGTTGCCATTTCATGTCCGGTACGGTATTAGTCGACCAGTGGATTAGAATAATCAGGGCTAATCAACTATTTTCACAAAAGGTCCGTTTACGAAACTTCAAAATTACTGGGGTCCGAACAATACAGAAAATTTATTTCATCAAATAAACGAAACTTCAAATGCAATTTTCAATTAAATACAAGAGCAATGAATGGCTTGCAAATATGGACACAAATGTCGCACATCGGTTCCAGTACGACAAACTGTATAGCTGTGTATTTAATCTGTATCAAAATCATCTAAAACTACCAAACGATGCTTATGCTGCCAAAATAAACAAGCAGACGCGGTCCAAATTAAATGGTCAAAAGGTCCAAATTCGGACCGCGGTCCGACAGATGAGCAGCCCTGGATTAGATTATGAACTTGATGATGGAGGAAGTCGTAACCGACCAGCTGTTACGTGAACCACCCATCATATCGCACATAATTGTATCTTGCAGATTTCGAACCTGCGAACCTAAGCAGGTTAATCAGAGGTGCGTTGCGATGGCGAGAGTATTTTTAACGCTTAGCGCGGTGCGCACATGATGGAACTGTGGCAATGCTGTTAATTAAACATCTGCGTTTATAATTTTAGGGTTCTTTTACTTGGCGTAGTATTACGCACCGCAACTGTAAGATTTCTTATAAAATGTTCATGTGCTTTCAACCGTGATCAGGGAGTCCGTGTCAAAAGTATAGATTGTCGTTGTTCATGTTGGGAAAATCACTCTTCTCTGCAACTAATGCGCGGACTGATTCAGTTATCGGTAATCAGTAGTATATTTTAACACCACATTGGAAAAACACATTTTACTTACAAAATGAAGAAAAAAAATTGCAATCCGCGAGGAGTCGCGATAAACCAGAAGTGATCATCGAGTAGCGACACCTGTGAAATAGTCTAACATTAATTTAACAAAAGTAAAAGAAGAAATGAAATGTTTTTAACATTTGGCTTCAATTTTGCTGACACTACATAGTGGCCACATTAGTCTCTTGGTCTTTGTGTTTATCTATCTACCTTTTTTCTGTTAAGTACCTCCCGAGTCACAAAAAATTCAACGCGAACCCCCGGTAATCAGACATCAAACAAAGCTGTGATATATTCACTGACAATTTGCTGCAACAACAATTTATAGACCAACTGCTGTAACTAAATTAAATATTCGTGTTGATGTTATTTCCCTTGTCCTCCGCCTAACTAATAAATTCTTGATATTTCTCTCAAGTTTCAATAAGCATTTCACTTTCTACAGTGGTCGCAACACATTATCTTTTTAGACTTTACAGTTGGCTGTAAAGCCGTGTGTTTCACATTGTTGCGTCACAATCACAACAACGCAAGATCAGGGAAAATCTACGCTGAGTTTCAATTGGCATGCGTTTTCCTCTGTTAATTAACGGATATTAAAAATGAAATACTCAAAAACTCAACTGCCACTCAAGTACCCCTAGAAATCTTTCCGTGAACCCCTAGGGGTTCGCGAACCCCAGGTTGAGAACCCTTGATCTACAGGGTGTCCATAAAGTCATTTTGCAATTTTAATTTTGTTATGAAGTCAGTTTTCAATATATATTTCCAGGTTTTGTTGTTTTTTAATCGGTAATTATTCAAGTATATTTACTTCATTTAATACATCTGTGAGGGCCAACCAATACATGGCATCGATAAATTTCCTTTGCAATTGAAAAAAAGCCTTTATGGACATCCTACATGGTGGAAAATACAGTTAGTTCATTGCACAACCGGCAAATGATAGATTAAAGGTTGGCACCCCCCGTTTAGCAGGTCAGAAATGTTTCTTTAACAAAATCCCACAAGTAATTGTCATTCATAGAAATTTTTTTCACCAAATCATTATCGCCGTGACTTTTTCTGTGTCTAATAAAACAGAGTAATGAGTATGTAGAATTGCCATTGTATTTCACTTCACTCTGATTCAGAAGGTTCTTTATGCAGCTGGCTTGATTCTTTGGTATGTCGTACAGCTTGCATTCATTGGTGGACAGTTGCAATCTCTCACACCAATTGTTTTTGGAATCATTCATCTTGTAGTCTCTACGCTTAGCTCCAGTTATTGGGTTGATGAGATTCAAATCGCCTTTTAAGCCTCTTTTAAAATTCCATTCTTCCATCGCTCTATATAACATTGTGCAAAAATTAAGCCTGTCTGTGTTGCTCCAGAAGAAGGGATGATTTTTCACTTTTTTTATTTTTGGTCTATCACTTGCTTTGGTATTTATCATTCTTAGAATGAGATTTTTTGCTATTTCAGCTTCACTGCATTTCAGTTTGGTCAAATTTGGCTTATCACTCACGATATTATGTGATCTGGAATCCGCTTTATCTCCAAAAGCATGTTTTCCTTTTGATAGAATAAAATAAAAAATCCCTCCAAGTGAGAAAACGTCTGTATATTTAGTGACATCCAATTGGTCGTCTGATTGCATCTCTGGTGAACTGTAATCTGTGGTCTTTTTATTCGGATAACTGCTGTTCTGTAGCGGCGCACGCAGGATTTCCTTGCTGAGTCCAAATCCATAAATTACAACTGTGGTCTTTCCGTTATCCACTTTGTAGAACACATTCTCGGGCCGGAGATCTCTATGAATTATTTTTTTGTCGTGAATGAAACTCAATCCATCTGTCAATTGTTTCAAAATATCTTTTACATTTTCCTCACCTAATGTAGAAAGGTCAACATCATTGAGTGTTTTATCACCGTAGTATGGCATGACTGTATAGATACATTTTTCACCATTGTGAATTTGACCGTTCTCAAAGAAACCAGAGTCTAGACGAGTAGCCACATTGGGAAAAGGGACTTCTAGTTTGTCTAAATTGCATGCTTCTCTTTTATCTCTTTCTTCAATATAACAATCGACCTTGATAAGAACTTTTCTGTCTCCTACAATTCCATCTGTCATTGTTCCTTCATATAGCCCAGGTATTTTAGTTTTTCCTGTTATTTTCGTATTTTCTTTTAAATCTATTGGTTCCATCATTCTGTCTTCAGTCTATACTGTTCACAAATATCGTTTCCCAGTGTTGTGGAATAAATACCATTTATGACCGCCAGTCCGCATCCGAAACTTTTTTCTCAGTATTGTGAAGTAATACAGTGATATTATTTTTTCACGGTTAACTACACTTCTTTGTGGAGCGTGTCTTACTGGGTACGTCAGTATGCGATGGGTAGATTTTCTTCTTTTAATATTTATATGCTGCAACATGTGTTAATCTATACCATTAAAATCATCCTTGGTTGATTATATATTGCTGTTAATGAACAATAAAGCTCATGTTTTCCAAAGGTGTCTTTAATAATGCTTCATTTATCTTGTTTGTGCATGTGTGTGTGCTATTAATTGCCAAGCATTTTGCTTTACTTTGAAGCAAATTCACATTCCAAGTGTTTTCTATACTCCAGTTGTATGTTGGTAAATTTTTATTTGCGTGAAAATCACAACCATTCAAAACCACACATTTAAGAAATGAATTGATGGTATTGGCGTAGCACAAAGGCTAATGTTAACAATTCCCAGCCCTACTTATTGAACAAAATACTTTATAATTTGCAACTAGCCAACTCCTGTTAAAAAAATCTTCCAATGCTTGAATGGAGCCAGCCTAAATATTGTCTAATTCTTGGTGACCCGTGAATTCCATTCCTTGAAAAACCTACCCTTTTTTGAAAATTACAAGTTTTGTCTATGGGTTATCAATTTGTGTAGTTTTTTTCTAAGAATATTCGGTCAAAGCAGGGTCGATTGATTTGAGACTCGAAGCAGTTCAATACAATCTGGAAAACAGCAATGAGTCAAATTTGAAAAGATATGACATGATCAAAATTTATGTATCATTATAGTGTTGGGTAAATCCCAAGTACTGAGTTGAGCAACAAGACATCACAGCCTCGATTCATGTTTGATCCCGATGTCAAGTGCTGTGATAAGTCTCATTGACGGTTAGTGGGGCATAGGTCTGAATCCTTTAATCCACTTAAGTAATCTTTGGTAAATGGTTACTTGAGTCCAAATCAAGCCATCCTATCCCTGAATGTGTCTTGTATGTGCCAGCCTAAATATCATCCAAGACAATCTAAGAATGTCAGGCTCCATACTTGGAAAAATCAAGCTTATTGTAGAGTTTTATACGATCTAGGGTAGTTTAAACATTTGACTGATTTACCTTGATATTATTTACTTTTATTGTGTTTATGGATGGCACACTTACGTCTTGATATGGCTAACTGTCGTGTATTCCAGTCTATGTTAAGATATGTTTTATGAAGGTATTTAATGGTGCTATAGTCATTGGGTTTGAATTATATATTTTTTAAGCTCCTAAAATAAATACAGTATTTGGGATTTTCTTTTCTGACAAAGTCATTTAAATGTAACTGGTATTTTTGCTATGTATTATGCTTGCTTGCTTGTAACACTTATTTCAATGGTTACATTTTATTGTTTGTCAGATCACTTTGTCTGACTGATATTTGGATTTAATCAATTTTAGAGGAATTGTTCGTTATATATCGGGATATTAGAAACATAGAACACAGAGGGGATTTGTCAACCCAAACTATATGAACCTTTGCCATATCTATGCCATCCTAACTTATAATAAATAATTTGTCGTTATGTTTCAGTTGACGGTCAAACCAAAACATTTCTGATGGATAGGTTATGAAGAGAGGTGAGGAGATACATCATTTACACAAGCGAGCAATTAGTGGCATTATACGAAGAGGTAAGATTCTATAATGCAGGAATGGTTCTTCTACTCTGACTGTGTCGCTGCCAAAGTGAAAGACGTTGCTATGCTGTTCGTTGCCCATGGTTACCCCTCCCGTACTTGACGGTGCCCGGGGTCTTTTTTCTGTAACAAATTTGGTTTTTGGACTTGAATATTTTTAATTTATATATTGTTCGACTAATTTCTTTTAAACCTGCTCGATCACCAACTTTGGTTTTTTGTGTCAAACTTCACCGTGAAATGTCATTTTGAACTTTTTTTTCTAATTTTTGTTCACAGTAAGTGCATTTTCATTTTGGTGAAAAATAAACAACCGACTGACTGACTGATAACTGCAAAAAACAGACTCCATATCATTTGGAACTTATTCTAAAAATACATACTTTTGTGCAAATCATCCTAGATTACTCGAAACTTTGGCGTTCCCGAAGTATGTGAACCAAGATGTCGGACACCGGAGCGTAGTATGTGTATCAGTTAGGGTTAGGCCATATTTTTCATCCAATTTTTCTTATTTTAGTCTTTATTACGAGTTTGGGGACTAGCCAGGTGACTCCCATAGCATTTGTACCTGAAATTATGGCCTAACCTGGTAGACATTGTACGTTCCGTTGTCCGTCATCTTGGTTCACATACTTCGGGAGTTCCGAAACTTTTAGGTACACTCCTACATGAAGAGAAGTTCAAGTGTTAAATAAATTTTCTTTGTTATAATATAAGTAATCAAGAAATTTATCATACCTATTTGTTTTATGGCCACCCTGTTCATTCTAGATTAGGTCATACGAGTCATTTCATTTTTTGACGACTTCAATCCCTTCGAACCTTTGATAAAAGTAAAGTAAATAACTCTTGCCCCCAACGCTGGTGACAAATTTTCTTTTGCACCAACTGAATTGTCTTCTCTCTTTGTTCACAGGTCACAACCTACACTTCTAGTGCTCACTGAACATTATTTCAAATCCTCATGGATTCGGATTCAAATGTCTTCCTAGTGAAGTATTGCCTATTGATAAGGAGGCTACATTTCCCTGAATCCCTCAAGGGCTATAGTTATCTAAAAAATCTATACCCTTGACAAAAGACTATTATGCCTGTCTTATACGAACATGACCTACAGGTTCTTTAAAAGTTAAATTCCAAATGAAAATGTTCAAAATTGATGCTGTTATCAAAAAAAATTAATTTTACCATTTTTGAAGGGGCTCGATCATTCTAAAAATGGCGCGTTGACGTCTTTATCTCTGAACACGGCCATGGACAAGCAGTCACGTATGTGGGTGAAACCACTTTACCTGCAAACGACCCAAAATATTCCATCCCGCCTATCCAATTTTTTGGATACACATTGATAGCTTGTAAAACATAGGATTTTAATCTGTGATTGCATCATATTTAGGTATAACGCCTTTTCTTACTGGGTTCCTTGGTTGCATATGAGATTTAGTTTGCTAGTTTTGTAACTTATTCTATATTACTGTCTGTATATTCAACATGTGCATTTGTATAATAAATACATGTTAACATTTTTTTTTCTTTTTTTCAAATTTTGTTTTACTGTTAACTTATGAGCACAAACTTGGAAGGAGCTGACTCCGATGACTGCATGGTCGTACAGCTCCCTCCGGTCTATACTGAAAAAAAAAATTTTTTATTTTGTAGCCTTCTTTTTACTTATCGATTTTAATCGGTAAGTATGTTGATAGGTATTTGTCTGTCTGTCTGTTAGATGCACGCGATATCTCACGAAAGCGAGATTGAATCTGCTCCAGATTTTGCATGTGCATTCATCATATCTCGGACCAGAAGCCTATTGATTTTGGATGAATTATGTCGTATAATTAGCGAGTTATTAATTAATTAGTGATAGGACACACGATGTCACTATGGAGTTAGAGCGCTGACTTTCGATCGATAAGTCTTCGGTCTCTGACCGATATTCTCGTTTTATTGTTGTGGTTGTATTTTTTTCTGGTTGACTACGGAGTCGTCGTATATTTTCAGTCTTGAAAGTTTGGTGCCCTTTCATGGAGGAAATCCATCCATCCAACTTTTTATATCTCATGGGCCCCCTTCCAGAGGATTTCAAGCACTCCCCCCTTCTGTTTATAATTTCAGAGGTATTTAGTTAGAGTGTTATTATTATTAATAGATTCATGAATCTGGAGTCTATTGTATAAGTTTATTTCGACTCCATAATCAGCAATAGACGATAAAAAAAATAGATAAAAGTAACTGATTATAGAATCGGGAAAGCGAACAAAACCTAGAGTAAGGTTTGAAACGTACAGATTTTAGATGGAAAGGTATTGATTGATAAAAGAAGTAGTACGTGTTCGCTCACCCAAAAGTAAAAGAAACTAATTAAGAAGGCACGCACACACACACAATCATCGAGACATGATACTGTCGGAAGCGAAAAAAGCGAGACTTAAAAGGAAGGAAAATATACAAACAAATAAAAAAAAATGATTAAATTATTTTGCCACACCAAATTAATAATTTTATGAGGATTGCCAAATTGGATACCGAATTAGTCAACAAGAGTAATGTATTGTGGATAAAAAAGTATTCCTCAAAAGATATCGTCAAGCTGATTATAATTGGAGATTGCCTAATCAGAATTGCCAAGTTGGATGTATGAAGAGGTGGGCTAGACCTGCTTCACTCATCAAATAGAAGCCACAACAAGCCAAATAACGTCCAAATTATTTTAAATACTATTAATCAATAACAGTACCGGTAATCATAATTAAAATTAATGAGGGCGCTATGATACAGAGGTAGGAAAATTGGTTAAGGGAATATATATGGTGTTTAAGGTTCAAGTAAAGTTTCTAGGGTCATGGATTATAGGCAAGTAACTTCAATTGAGGTTGTTGATCACTGCGGTCAGTTCAAATTCATCACGGATGATTCATCAGTCTGCAAGTTTTGTTGATGTATACACCTTTCATGTTGACATAGATAGCATTTAAATTGATCATCATGACGTCCTGAAAAACGAAAAATATATCTCCGAATACAATATTTAATGATTGCAAATGAGGAATCAATAGAAAACTACCCTACACCTTTGAGTGGAAGTTGTTGAATTGTGTAAATATTGATTAATAATAATTAAATATCATTAGACTGCTAGTTGAAAGACCTGAGAAAGAAGAGATTGTGGTTGGGACACAAGAGAAATTGTTCACAAACCACACACATGTATGCCATTATCTTCATTAGTCATTAACATCACACTAACCCTTACACATTTGCATGCTATACACAGCATAAATTCGACCAAGGATAAAAACTTTGTACACACGCAGGACACAGCATATATTACTTCAGCAAGTTAAAATGTAGGGGAGAATCCAATATACCTCGACTGGTCACCTAATTACAATATTAGGTACAGGAGTTAAATTATACCGTCTACAACCCTCACAAAGAATCACACCACCCAAACAGAAAACAAAGTTCACGCATGTGGAATATCAGACACCCAACCAACATTGAAAGAAAAGGAAACATGCGCATGCAGATATCAGAATGTGAACAGCCATATTAAGGAAAATCTTATGCTATAGAACAAAATAAATGGCCAACTAGAATGCAAAACAGATGAAGAGAGCTCAACTGCTTGTTCAAAAATAAATTAGCAATCTCAGAGACAATAACAATGTTATGGCTGTTCAACATTCTCATGAAAACAATAAGTATGTGCAAGTGCTGAGTGTCCCAACTTATGTCATGGTCTTTCTTTTGAAGTTGTAGCTAATTACATACAAAAAATATATAACAGTGTGATTCTAATAATAAATTTTAATATTTTGATACCAAGTAGGACTTGACTTTTTTCTGAAAAGATTTTTTGGATGTCAATGTCTTTAAATTCAAGGGGAGAGAATTCCACAGCTTGGGCCCAGTATAACATAAGGCATGCTGGCTCACAGATGTACTCATAAAAGGTATGAACAGGTTGGAACTACTTCTTCGATTGGAAGTAATTTTAGTTAGTATGTCGTCGAAGCAGTTTGGCAAGGAATTGTTATGGAAATCATGGACTAATGATAATACTTCAAATTTCATTATATCTTCAACTTTGAGTATATTTAGCTTTTTATAGAAATGGTTTACACTTTCACGTTTACCTTTCCTAAAAAGAATTCTTAAAAAATTATTACAAATACTTTGCAATTTTGAGACAAGTGTTTTATTACCATGGAGCCAGACTGAGCAACAATATCGGATATGGCTGAGTAGTAATGATTGAAACATTGCTAGTAAAGCTGATTGATTAACACACTGGGATACTTTGGCATCAACTGCCAAGTTTCTTTTTGTTTTACCAATAACATGCAATATGTGTGATTTCCAAGACAGATTTTCATCGAAGATAACTCCTAGAAATTTTATTTCTTTCACTCTTTCAATTTCATTGCCATTGAGCAGCAGTGGTTTTGTACAACTCACACTTTTATGCTTGCTTGGATGGAATAATACAAATTTAGTCTTGTTAGCATTAAGAGATAATTTATTGACTAATATCCAGCTATGAATGTTGGCTAGTTCGTAGTTTGCAACTGTGAACAGATCTTCAAGGTTTTCCCCATGAAGAATTAAGTCAGTGTCATCAGCAAACATGATTGACTCAGAGGATTTCAGACACCTGGACATGTCATTAATGTAAGCTAGAAAAAATAATGGGCCAAGTAAGGATCCTTGTGGAACTCCGTGCTTCATGACACAAATATTTGTAGAGAATGAGTTGTCATATGGCACAATTTGTTTTCTGTCTTGCAGGTAGTTCCTGATCCAATTGAATGGGACGCCTCTAATTCCATAGTGATAGAGCTTACACAAAATGATGGAATGGTCAATGGTGTCAAAAGCTTTTGAAATATCGAGGAATATTCCAATTGGTGACCGTACATTTGAACCCATGCGTATATCCACGGGTTCAATCTATATGCGGGTGCTAAAACCCATGGGTTAGGGTTAGTATGGGTTTAACTATCCGTGAAACAAAAAAAAATTTCATAGGTGCAATTGTCATGGGTTCAAATGTACGTGGGTTCAAATGTAATGGAACCATTCCAATTGCATGTTGTTTGCCTTCAAAAGCCTTGGTAAGTTTGTGTACCAAAACATTAGCAGCCATAGCAGTGGAGTGTTGCTTGCGGAAACCGAATTGATGCGAGTGGAAAACATTGTTGGTTTCAAAGTAGTTTGACATTCTACTATACATTATTTTTTCAAGAATCTTAGAAAACGACGGTAGAAGACTAATAGGTCTATAGTTCCCAAGATCTGAGACACTACCCTTTTTAAAGAGATGAAGAACTTTAGATGTCTTGAAACTTTCAATGTATAATCCAGTAGATAGTGAGAGATTGAAAATGTATGCCAGAATATCAGTGATGTGTTCTGGAATATATTTCAATAGTTTGAATGGAATACCATCAATTCCAAAACTTGACTTGGGCTTCATTTCGCGTATGATATTTTTTTATTTCTAATGCTGTAGTTGGCCTTAGAAACATGGATGACGATTCTTGCCTCCCAAGATATGAAATGTAATTTTTGTCACAGCTAGCTGGTTGTGGCATATTGTCGAGCAATCTTTGTGCCACTTGGGAAAAATGTTCGTTCAATTTCTTTGCAATTTGTGTATTACTGCATTCAAGTCCAATTAAAGGACATGAATTGTTTTTATTTTTACCGATTAGTTCATTAATTGTTTTCCATACTGCCTTAATGTTGCCTTTGTGAGAGGCAAATTTGGACATATAATAACTTGATTTCTTTTTATGGAGAAGTCGAGCATAAAGATTCCTGCATTCATTATAATGTGACTTGTGTTTGTCATCTATGTTTTTATTGTTTATCAATTTCTTATAAAGTTTTTGTTTGACTTTGTCGAGTTTGCGTAACTCAGTATCATACCAAGATTTGTTTAATCTGTTTGCTTGTGTTCTGTAAGGAAAAGGCTGAGAGTAAACAGTAGAGAATTTATCAAAAAATTTTTCAAAGCATATGTTTGGATCCTGTATGCTGTTGAAGTCATCAATATCAATGGAATTCAATTCATTTATAAAAGTATTCAAGTTGGACGAAGTAAATTGGCGACGAAGTGTTTCAATTCTGTTTTGGATTTGTTTTTCTAGGAGAGAGCATTGCACAATTGGCAAATGATCAGAAATACATTCTGCTAAAACAGCACTGTTAATTTTTTTATCATATACGTTTGTCCAGATGTGGTCTATACAGGTAGCAGAACTTGAAGTTATCCTGGTGGGACAGTTTATCAGAGAATAATAGGCCAGACTGTGCAAAATATCAACAAATAGGCTGGTATTCATATTGGACTCATCAATAAAATTATAGTTGAAATCACCCATTATATAATTATAATTCGACCTGTTCATCTTTGAGAGAACTTGGGACAAAAGATGTCTAAAGTTAGCATTGTTCAATTCATCAGTTAGTGGTGATCTATATATAGTACCGCAGGTTATTGTTTTATTTTCTAATGATA